GCCGGCCGGTGACGCGCGCGGTGTTGCCGTTGCTTAGCAACCGCGCGCCCCTTACAACCCACCAATCAGAATATAGCTGCGCGTCCCACCGTTCACCGCTACGTTAAACTACATTGCGCATAGTATGACAGGTGCCGCGAGTCGTGGAACATTGGTGTTCGCGATTAAAAAGTAGTTCCCCTCCTCTGGGTAAATTTGCATTAACCCACGCATCTTCGACTACGATTTTCGAATCGATCGATTCAATGCTTGTCATGCATCCTTTTTAACATGTTAGCTGCCATGGTGGTTATCGATAGACTAAGGATGCTTATGCAAATCCAAATTTTTATGAATACAACGAAAAAAATGGTATTTAAATAGAGATTTATTGCACGTCATAATACATGTTTTATGAAATATTTTATATACGTTATATGCAATTTGTGCATTTTTGCATCTTCAAGTTTCCCATAAATGTATAAAAATTCGTATTCTAGTCATTGGTGAGCCATGTTACTAAATTTTTTGGAATCATTGAAATAAAATAAATTTTCTGGATTAGCAAATTGTCAACAATGTGAATGACTCAAGTAACATTGACAGAAGAAAGTGCGCAAATGTGACATAATATTTTTCAAAAATTAAATCTTATGGTATAGTATATTTCAATTTATTGTGACACCAACAGGACAAAATATATATAATTCGAGTGGCAGTCAACGCTCAGTGATAAATGATAAATGGATGATAATAAGTTGACAAGATTGAACCATATTAAACAAACGATCTTTAACGATAAGATTGAATAAATGTTTTTATCTTCTAGGTGAACTTCCTCGTTTTGCATTAACTATGTATTGTACTCGAAACCTGTTTTACAAAATAACATGATATCATTTACCATAATCTAACAATGACTAATGTTTGATTATGAGACTCTACATCTATCATAGATTGTGTAGTATAATGTTGCATGCGAACAGAAGAAAAAATACGAACAAATTCGTGTTCTCATTGATCATGGTATCGAGGTCATTACTGAGAAATATTGTATATTATGCCTGATTATAAGGCATCTAAATGATTGCTTTTTTTATACTGTTCGCAATAAAGTCACGAATAACACTCTGTACGGGATCGATGATTAATATTAGTAGATATGTAAACGTAGATATAACATGAAGATGGCTAAAATGAATAAAATCAATTATCTGCATAATTGAGCTATATCGTTAAAAATGGAATTATGCGAATTAAATATTTCAATTAATTATTCCAATAACGGATTCAGGATTAAACGAACGCTTCTCGAATAGAAAATGCGATTGAAACGTTAGACAGAGAGAGAGAGAGAGAGAGAGAGAGAGAGAGAGAGAGAGAGAGAGAGAGAGTTACGCGTGGAAATTAATTCGATACTACAGAAAGGCATAAAGTTTGAGGGGTACGCCTTTGTATCGTGAATCACTAACGCAGATACGTCGAAGAAAAGTGGTTTCTTTCACGTTGATAGCTAATTGCGTCGTCAAAGAACAATGGAGAATGAGCGATGCATATATATTCACGATATTTGAAAACAAGCTTCGAATTGTATTCGTGAATTATCGATTAGTTTGAAGCATATGCCATTGTCCCACAAAAATGAAGTATAAAGATACATTTTTACCATAAACATAAAAACAATAAAAATGAAAGTAAGTTTTTACTTTATTATTTGCCATTACAATAGGTTAGAATTAACATTTAAAAAGCATGAAAAGTAAAAATTATTATATAATTATGTAGAAAATTTTTATTCAGGAAATAAAAACTGTCTTTACTTGAACAAAAGATGAATTATCTATTATGATTTTAAAGATAAATTACCTATCGGTTAAAGTTGACATAATTTATTCAGGATTAATGAAATGGCAATTCAATGCAATATGCAGTCTTACGCATGAAAATTATTATTCGTTTCATTCGAGATTCTCCTTTCTGACTGGCAGACACGAAAGTAGTGCCAGCAGACGACGCCCGAATTGTACTTGTATCCTTGCGCCACGTACGCTATGCATTACATCGAATATAGATATAGGCACAATCATTTTTCTTTGAATACGTTTATTGAAATGTAAATACTTGTTACCTTTCTTACGTCCTTTATATATTTTTTTTACTATATCTAATGAAATGAAAACAATATGATCTACTCTTTTAAATGGGTGGGGATATTATACGAGAGCATTTTATTTTTTTCCTTCACTAACCAATCTTTTTCCTATGTTTACATATTATCAAGAAACATACATTACTGTACCTAAAATGAAATTATATTTTGAATACTGTATAAACATCAATTAAGAAAAATATTTATAATGGTCTACAGTTCAGTTAACAAAGTTATCGATTTCTAGCTCTGGTGGTATTGAACGTGTTTTACAGTTCCCTTCGTTTTCCATTATCATTTATGACTTTCTTATTGTATATTATCGGTTGTATCTTTCGTTAACAAAAGGACAACAAATATACATATATATCTCTTTTTTTAATTATTATTTTTTATCACTTAACTTTGTTAATCCAGTTTTATCATGTTTTTATAGATACTACTTCTAATAGAAGTGCAAGTATAAAACTATACTTATCGTATAAGTCTGAATTCCCGAAACAATAGGACCGAGTAATGAGAATTGTGCATGGGTGCAATGAGGATGTGCTGATTGGGATGAATAGCTCATATTGTCGGGAGAGCCAAAAGCACCCAGGAGCCTGTGTATAGAAGCTCTCTGATCATTATAAAATGCCTTGTCTGGTATTCTTCATTGTACTACGCTTACACTTTGTTGCGTGTTACAAAGATAAAGTATTAGTTTCATTTACTTTATGAGACTATAAAGACCAATGTTAATCATGCGGATAATTTAATTATTCAAAAGTTGAAAATATTTTAAATTATTAATTGGAAACAAAAATAAGATCTTAACCATTAATTTTGTGTAATCGATGTAATCGATGTTAACCTGTTTTTCCTCTTATCAATGTATAAAACACCTATTTCTATACCTTTTCCGACAACAATATACGACATTCTTTTTTTATCTTTAATCGCTGTCTTTCACAAATCGATATATTCTATCATTTCCAATATATTTTATTCTCTGTAAGTTTCACATTAATTTATATGCCAGAATTTAAATATAAAACGATATATGTTAAAAAGAAACTGTAAGTAATATAGATATAATATTATTTAATGGGAATTATTATAAAATTGAATTATCGTTCATATCAAATCGCCATGAACTTCTCTAACTTACAAGATAACGAATAATATAAACTACGCTAGAATAATACGAATGCTAGTAAACAAACAATCAGTTTCTTTCTTCCTTTAAAAAAAACTAAAATATTCATAATATACAATATATACATCTACATGTTAATGTTGGTTATCGTGAAAGTTTTTAGGTTAAATTACATTCGCTAGATGCAACACTTTGTTTATTATCGTAATAGAACTTTCGAAAACTAATGTGCTGATAATAAAGTAATTATTGCGTAGTTTGAAAAAAAATTTATATATATACATATAACAATAAACGATAAAACTTGTATTTTGTATTTCATGAAAGAAGAAACTCCACAAATTCTTCAGCACATCAGCACATATGTACATCAGCTGATTCTCCCACTCTTTCGCTCTTCAACAGACAGTATACTCGAATCGACACAGACTAGATAATAGAATTGGCTACGTCGACGCACTGTTTTTCTAACATTGACTACAAAGAAATCATCGTATTCGAACAACGACAGCACCGTAAAAGCTAATGGCAAATCATGAAATTGTCAGATCGAAAAGGTACGAATCAAACGATTTTAAATATCTCCTCCTTCATGACTGTCAATCACATTATTATTTTTTTCTTAGTTCAAACTGATTGGTTTTTCCATGTGTTTCGGCGACATCAAACACACAGCGTCGTTCAGAATTTATTATAATTTCATTATCACGATTGCATCATCTTTCGTGTTCAAGATTTAAGTTAAAAAATTTCGACGCGCGTTTCAATGTTGGCAATAGAAATTATCGTTGTAATTAATAGATTTATATTATAGATAACCGCACACATAGAAGTATTTTGAAACATTACATAGATGTATAGAAAGAAAAATGAATATGGAAGTCAAAGAATTAACTATATTATGTTGGGTTGCATTTCAAGGTCACGCGCCAAACAATTTTAGCACGAAGAATCATAACCAAAGAAATATGTAGTTAATCCGATTTCAAGTTATATTTTACGTACAAACACGTAGGTAATTTATTTCGTAATTTACGCATTACAAGTCTTCAAAATTGAAACTACACAGATCTCACGTTTAACATGCTTGTCAGGATTTATTATATAACATGAGGCAATTTTTCAAGTTCAGTGTCATATAAATTGTAACGTGACATTTGTAAAACTACATTGTAACAGTATCGAAAAAAAACAAAATACAATGATACGTGATCAATGGTATGTATCATGAAAAATTTCGTTAAATTAAAAATCCTTCTTGTTATTATTCTATTTTTAATAATTAATATTGTTTTTATGTAAAAAATACTGTTATAAAAATGTAATTTTATAAATATGTAATGCATGATATAATGTAAAATTTATGAAAGGTTTAGTAAAGTTTATTGTTTATTTATGAAAAACATTTTTTATTCATGAATAATAAATCTTTTTTTATTCACTAGCTGGTTTTGGGAATGGTTTAGCTGGTCTGGCTCATCTTCAGCTATGTTACGTTCTGTTGAGAAAAAAATTCTTTCTTGTAAGTTACTTAAATTATTTATTTCTCATTTAATGTTTATATGGTAAAGTAGATTTACAACTTAACAGGATAATTTCAAATAGGATAATGATTATTTGATTTAACAATTACTATATTTTGACAATGTAGGTTTGAAAACTGCATATCGAGGATGGTATGTGGACATAGGACCAGTTGTAGGAACATCAGATAAAATATGGACCATTTCTTTAAATGAAGAATCACCAAACACACCAATTGTTCTGTTGCATGGTTTAGGGGCAGGTGTAGCATTATGGTGTTTAAATCTTGATGCTTTGGCTTCACAGAGACCAGTGTATGCCATTGATATATTAGGTAAAAATAGAAGGAAATTATAGATCTCTTAAAAGTCTTATTACATATAATAGATATAAATCTTCAATTTTATCCAATTATTTTTCAAAGTAAGCTGTTCAGATATATACTTTGTTCTTTAATACAGTAGCTATCATGCATGACTCATAGATGACTGAGATTGAACTTTGGAATTATATATAATTTGTGAAACAAATGATGTTGCATATTTTTCAAAGAGTGACAGTTGGTATCACTGTATTTATTTACCTATAAGATCATATAATCACAAATTAGTATTAAATTAATTTGTTGATCTATAATGTACAATTATGTTTTTGTGTATTTGATGTTTTATGTAAAACAATTAATTCTTGTTATCCAGGTTTTGGTAGAAGTAGTCGTCCTGTTTTTAGCAATGAAGCACAAGTAGCTGAGAGTCAACTAGTTCGTTCCATAGAGGAATGGCGCAGGGAGATGCAGTTAGAGAAATTTGTGCTGTTAGGTCATTCAATGGGCGGTTTCCTTGCAGCATCATATAGTATGCAATATCCTGAAAGAATAAAACATCTAATTCTTGCTGATCCTTGGGGATTCCCTGAAAGACCTGTAGAACGAATTTCCAGAGCTCCTATGTGGGTAAAAGTTATAGCATATATAATGGAACCATTAAACCCACTATGGCCAGTGAGAGTAGCTGGTCCATTTGGTTAGTTCTTATTCTACATTTTCATGTGCCAATTTCTGAGATATAAAATTTTGTACTATTGGTATATATAGTAGTATATAATATGTATTCATGTTTATATAAAATATGTAGTATTTCATAGTATATAAAATGTTATTTCTTTTAGGGCAGTGGTTAATTGAAAAAACAAGGCCAGATATAGTAAAAAAATTTGCACCTGTATTAAAGGATGACACTGCTGTGATTTCACAGTATTTGCATCAATGTAATGCCCAAACACCATCGTAAGTATTTAAAATCTTTAAATATAGAATAAAAATTTTTGAATTCACACAGATTTTGAAGTCTTACGTTCTTAACTTCATTGAACGAATTTTTCATATATGAGTTTTTAAATATAAAATGTAAAAGTTACATTTTCACATGTCCAATGAAAAGTGGTGAGAGTGCATTTCATGCAATGATGCAACATTTTGGTTGGGCCAAAAATCCTATTGTTAGGAGAATGGATAAACTAAGTCCAGATATTCCCATAACTCTATTATATGGTAGTCGATCTTGGGTCGATAATTCATCTTGGGAAACACTTAAACAAGCTAGAGCATTGTCGTACATTAATGTTCAGGTAAGAACATAAAAAAGAAGATATAAAGATCTTAAGATATAAAGAAAGAATTTCGAGAACGAATTATGAATTTTAAGTTATTTCAATGGTATATTTTGATTGATTATAGGCCATAACAGGAGCAGGACATCATGTTTATGCTGATAAAAGTGAAATTTTCAATAAATATGTATTAGAAGCATGCAATCTAAGTGATTCGATATCCCATTTAACAGTATCAGATATTCGTTCAAACATTAAAAATATAAATGAACAACAAATTCCACTTATTTTAACTAACGAGGAAGTTGACTCTAAAACCGTTCAGGAACAGGAATTGAACACGCCACAAACGCGATCTAGTTGAAATTTAGTATAAAATTTTATTGTTAAATCATACTCTATTGACTTTAATATCCATTCGGATGAATTGCATGATTTATGTGATTTAGATTAGGTATACATGTACTGCAGTATACCAAACAAGAATCACGTGTTGATTAATATTATTGTACAATTTAATTTCTAATTTATGTTTTACTTTGTTAATTTTATAATTTATAATTTCTTGAATTGTTTCAAGGACGACAGTACTCAATTCTTAGTTTAAGTTTATTATCCCACCACCTACGTCTCCGAAAACTAGTTGAATGTTGGAGTATTGAATTTTTGTACAAATTTCAATTTCTTGCTATGATTATAGATATGATAAAATAAATAATAAATATTGAAAAAGGGAATAACAGTACATGTACGGAATTATTTAAATACTTGAGATTGATCACAAACAAAACATATAATAAATCATCAGAATCAAATCGAGTCAATGGGATCAATAATTTGGACGAATATTGCAAATATGTCATGTTACTTACATGGGTCTTACAGAGGGAAGTTGAATTGTACATTATGCACAAATGTAACATAAAATAAAATGAACTGTGGGAAAATAAATATCATTAACATTAGTTTATTAATGTTTGTATAAAACAAATTTGCTATACTAACTGTTTATATGCTATCAATTCCCTATTGTTTATCATGTCCTTACTGTTTTTTGTAATAATCAATGTTTTCATCATAATTGTCTTCAGTGAAATCATTATAATCGTTTCCAAGATCATCATTGTCACTTTGTTCTTCAAAATCATAAATAGAATTATCTACTCGATATTTCTTCATTTTCTTTCTCTGTTCTTTTCGTCTGTGATATAAAAATTGCTTAAACTCATTCTGTTCTTCCCTATTAGTTACAAAATTTGGGCTATTTTTTATATTTGATGTAGAATATGAATTCAAGGATGGCATGTTTTCTATTTGTCTTATCGTAACTTTTTTTGATTTATTTAATGAGGATTTTATCTGCAAAAAAGAGAAATATCCTTAAATATTATATTAATAATCATAGCTATTATACATATGTACATAATATACCTGAGACATAATTCGAAAATGATCTAATCCAAATACATCATGTCTCATTACTGGCAAAGTAATACTAAAGTTATTATTTTCAACATTCTCAATATTTTGATTAACATCAGAAGTTTCAGAAGCAGTAATGGTCTGTTGTATAGCATCTGGATATGGACTAGATACATGATCTTCCCCAAAGTCCATAATCTTCAATTTTTGTTCTACTTCCCTTAAAATACTTGTACCTTTACATTTGACAAATTTAATAGGAGGTACAACCCCTATAACACGGAGTTGAGACAATTCATGCCTCAATTGAAAGGCACATTTTTGCAAAAGTTCTACTATATCAGTATTCTCAGTATTATTGTCTATCCAATATACATTAATGAATTTAAAATCTGCAGTTACTTTAACATGAGAAATCTCTATATTCTTATTTAGAATCTCAGGAACTATCTCTCCAGTTGACATTAAATCTGTAATATACTTCATAAAAACCTTATTTAGAACAATCATCCTTCGCACTGTATATATAGAAAGTTTACTTGTTGAAGTTGCATGTGCATAAGGATTTATGTTATCATTGATTGACTCCCTGTTTACAAATAAAACAATCACCATTTAGTTAAAAGGAGATTAAGAAATAATAAATAAAATCTACATCTGCTTAGAAAATGTAGAGTGTACTACCTTTTTGGTTTGTTTTTGTTCATAATTTTATTCATAACGTTTGCTTGTTTCATTATATCATATTTTGTGCTGTCAGTAAAAATGCGTCGAAAAATTTGTTTTACTGTTGATATTTCCATATTTTGTATTTTGTTGTGGAGATGTATTTTTCGTGACACAATACGATATTATTTTGTATTTAAAACATTGATTTACATATTATTTCACATAAGTAATTTAAATATAATACAAAAGCACTCCTTTTATGAAAATAATATAAAATTATTAGATTTATTACAAATTGCCGTTACAACAAACTTTGTATACTTACTATGAATGTATTGAGGTTATGTATTTCATTCATGTATCCTTTAACTGTTAATTAATTCAGTAAAAATAAATTGATGTCTTTATTATTTAAATATAACCTACTTTTTTAACATAGTTTTATGGCTATGTTTTATTTTAGGGAACACAAAATTATTGACTTTTTTTTGCTTACAATGTCATAGTTTTCGATGTTCCAACTAAAAAATAAGTTTTAAAAATATAAATATATAAGTTTTTCAAAGATGAGCAAAGATCGCAAAATTCAAAAGGTTGTATTTCTTAAATGATTTTTAAAATGATGAGTTAAACCTCTAATTTCATGTGAACTACATCATATCCCATTTGGAATAAAAGTCCAGATATCGAGAGAGAAAAAAGCAATCGATTTAGTGTGGAATCACCTTTTGTTTTGTATTACTAAGGTTAGAGAAAAGTCATGCAATCAATCTTTCAATTTTCTAACCTATAAATCTCTGAATATTAATTTGCTTTTACATAATCGAGTCACCTTTAATTGTCATTAATGTTCATTATATTAAATTAAAAATATTGTAAATAAAGAGGAAAAATGTAACAATTATTATAAATTTCTTTATATTTTTAAAAATACTTTTTATATGCAAAAATTTTTAATAAAATAATTAAATTGCAGAATGTACGATATATGTAAAAATGTGTAAAATATTCAAAATATTTGTTATAATATTTTGAGGGTGAAACACATCTCCAATTAAATTCCATCCCCTTAGTCGTGTTTATAAAGATATGAATTTGCATAAAGACTCACAATAATATTAGAGCAGATGTAACATATAAAATTTTCGCCTTTTATTTTTCTAATTTACTTTCGAATTACAATACTATGTACACATAAACTATTTAATAATTATTATATGCCAATAAAACTCTTTACAATTTCTTTTTTATCTAAAAGAAGTCATTAGAGGAACTGCCGTATGTGTATGAGAAGCAAGATCTCTTCCTCACTGAACTATATTGTTCTAGTTCGAAAACTTTTCAAGTACACTATTTGTGCTGTAAACTATCATGCGTAATAACGATACTGAAAATATTGTTATTACAATCGCGTTACGACTTCTCTTCGAGATAATCGACTCGTATTTTTACTTACAAATTTTTTACAAAATTTTTTTTTGTTCCGCATTTATGCAAAATTTCTTGGACAAATGAGAGCTTTCCTTTAAACCCTAAGTCATTTAAATATCGATCTAATCTTAATAATAATATTATCTGTAATTTAATATGTATTGTTTGACAATAAAAAGACAAATTTAATGAGATCAAATGTAAAATTTGAAAAAAGAAAAAGAAAAAAGAACGCTTACATCCTAACATTACGCACCTAGTTAGGTGTGATCGGAAATTGAAAAGTCTCAGTTCACGAAACAAACGAAATCTCCGAGACACGCGAATAACTTATTATAATCGAAAGATCAAACAATATATATATGTATACATTAAATGATCATACATTTAATTAAATATCACCCAGATCGTATTTGCATGCTTCGAGCACTCGACTGCTTTTGTAGCATGTTTAAATCTACTGGTAAAATAAAATTTCTTTAACGTCTATGACCGTAACTCTTACAAATTCATCATATATTATATATAAGTTAATATATATAATTGTAAAGATAGTACATAGCTTGATTAAAATATCACTGATCAGCGATATCAATAAAAGTCAGAATCATTTCCAGTATAATACGAAAATCGAACGATTCATTCATAATCATCAATTGATAGACACGTAATATACAGGGTGGTTGGTAACTGGTGGTACAAGCGGAAAGGGGGTGATTCTACGCGAAAAAAGAAGTCGAAAATATAGAATAAAAAATTTCTCGTTTGAGGCTTTATTTTTGAGAAAATCGACTTTGAATTTTCGCTTGGTACGCGTGCACTTTATCACGTCTCGTTATAAAGGATCTCACTGTAGATTTTAAAAAAAATTAAAAAAAAAATTTTTTATTCTATATTTTCGACTTCTTTTTTCGCGTAGAATCACCCCCTTTCCGCTTGTACCACCAGTTACCAACCACCCTGTATATTACGTGTCTATCAATTGATGATTATGAATGAATCGTTCGATTTTCGTATTATACTGGAAATGATTCTGACTTTTATTGATATCGCTGATCAGTGTTTTTCGTATCTTCTCTATTAACATGTGATATAGAATACTTACACAACGAAAATATAATATTTAAAATTAAACTACATCTAATGCCCAAATTAACTTTTTTACATCCCGGAATTATTGCCTTTGAAACAATGCTTAAAGTAACTTTCTTTCAATTAAATTCATTGAAATAATTAAAAAAGCGCACTGGAAATAAAATTCTGTCTTTACCTAATATGACATTATACTATTCCTACGTACGATCAGTTATTACACGGCCTTTTTCTCTGTTTCTAACATGATCATACCTGAGAACATTTCGAGCGAACATTTCATTTATTTTAAGCCACACAGCCAAGAAACAAAAATTCGACTTCAAAATGATTGTTCCTATTTGTTTGATTTTTTAATTAATTCTTTTTTATTCAATGAGAACGACGTCTCAAAAAAATAGTTTTCCTTTCATTACCCATATTTTCAATAAGTTATTTTAACGTTCAATTAAATTCTCTTATTGATTTTGCGTACGTCGTTCGCCAATTATGTTTTCCAATTTACGCGCAACAAATGTAGTTGTTTTTTTGATCGGAGATGGTCCTCCATCTGACATCTCCACGTCAGTTTCATCCGTTAAAAGTCGCTTGCCCACAGATCTTTTCGGGTCGACAGAAATCATCATTTTATTAATAGCCTCCAAATCCTATAAATAAGAACAAAATACGTATAATACATGATTTAACAATAAAATTTTACATAAGAAATATGCGATTTTAATTTACCTTAGCAGGACTACGACTAAAGCAATAACTAAGTTGTGGTGCTGGAGAAGCAGAAATAGCTTTCGGATCTAATGTACGTGTCATAATACTACTGGTGACACGTCTCACCGGTGAACTCGCGGGAGGTTTCCCTTTCGGTAGTGGACTTAATGATAGATTCATTACGCTTCCGCGTGCTAGTCCCAACTTATTCGCCACTTCTTTCACCTGTGGTACGTATACTGTATTGTAAAATTTAATTAAATCCCCACGTGTTTCTTCTCCGAAGTTCTGCGAAGTCCCAGCCATGTTTGTAGGTGTAGGAGGTGCCGCATTGGTTTCTTTGTCGGATACATCTTTCTGCCCGATCTCTTCATTATTCTTCTGTAATTCGCCGGACGGTGTTTTAGCTATAAGTACTGATCTATATATGTGAGATTCTGCTTGTGGTTGTAATCGGTAACATCGCATGATTTCAGTGAACGAATTCTTCTCCATCTTTGCCAACTTGCATATGACGTAAATTGCACACATTAAAATTTGATCTAAGTGACGGTCCTTCATTAATTCTGTTCGTTCCTTAATAGAGTACTCAAAGATTGTCCATATCTTCTTCTTTAAATCGATGTCCATTATTTCTAACGAACCGCATAAATCTAGCATGCGTACACTAGCTAGATTATAGAATTTCCTGAAAAATAGTGCGACAGAACCGGTTCGTTTTGGTTTTGCTGGCTCTCTGTTAACTGCTACAGTTTGCATCGGAGTACCTGTAGATTGTACACTAGATGATCTTGGAACTGTAATTTGTTCAGGTAAGAGAAGTATTCTTGAATTGCCATCAATGGTCAAAACTTTTGATGGTAAAACACTTTGACCTGTCACTCGTAAGACGCTTTGTCCACCAATTCTAGTGTCAGGAAATAGACGTTTCTTAGCTACACCAGATGCTGCAACAGGAGACTGAAATCTTTCTGAAGCAGAGGAAATAGGGCTTTGTTGAACATCGTGATGAGTACCACGGTCCAAAGCGATTCTTCTCAATACGGGTTGTCCAGGAATATTTGGGTCAACAGTTTCCAACATGCCTGGTAAAGAAACTTCTTCGCAGCTTGGTACACCTTCAGGCGTGGATTGAATGGCACTCCACAAAGGACTATCACTTTGCCATGCAAGCGATTCTAATATCTTTTCCTCTATTTGATTCAAATGCTTTACAACATCGCGTGATAATTGATTTTCCGCTCTAACTATAATTTCTATCACTTTATAGAAATAGTAGGCATCTAAACTTAAGGCATTCAAAATCCAAGGGAAGATTTTGTCGTTGCTTTTATATGAGTAAATGACTATCTCTAAGCAACAAGCAAATAAGCACTGAATAAAGATTTCTTTCGTGAGAAGATTCTACAACATACCAAGATAAGATATTATTCATCTACTGATTTAGTTTATTAAAATTTTAAATCACTAATCAACATACCGTAACGTCATAATTTGGTTTCTTGCGTTTCTCGTCATTTAAAATCATTTCTAGAAGTCTATAAAAAAGGGTTTGACCCAAATAAAGTCTCATCTTTCCAAAATCTGACGTGGTATCATTCGCGTTTGTACTTTTGTTGTAGTTGGCGCAAAATAGTTCTCCGAGCTCTTTGACTTTCGTCTCGACGAGCGTCTTTACGTCTTGAGAGCAACTATTTAAGATTTGCAACAAATTTTCGCTCGGTGATGTTTGACCTGCTAACATAGCTTGGAGTCGAATTACACTCTGCGTTGCAGTGGATACTGGTGTCACATTAGTAATATCTTTTGGTCTGAGGTAACTGCGTCCAGTTAATGGAGTGGGTGGAGCTAAGTGTTGTATCTGCTATAAACATTAAATATACATCAATTTTTTTACAATAAAAATTTATTTAAAATTGTAAGGTTTATAAAAATGATAAATGCATATATATAATTATTTTAATACTTACTCCGCTATATTGTTCTTTCTTCATTTGAAACTGTTCATGTAGATCACCAACATTCATCATCTGTGTAGGTGAACCGATGTTATTACTGGCATCATGACCTGAAATGAAATAAAATTATGTATAATATTTGTAACATATTAATATTCCATTCTTCGAGTATTTTAGGATAAATTATATACAGCTGTCTTATAAACAATTTAGAATTTATATGCATTCATGCCAGAGCCTTATGCTATTTACTACCAAGCTTATTACTTTCTTATAGCAGCTTTCGGTGTACTATAAACCTACCTTTCATGAAAATACGTTTAGATAATTTAGCATGATAAGTTATATCTTCTCCAACAATTTCCAAACTTGATATTCCATTTAATCTCACTCTTCTCCAATCAGCTATACCACAATCAAGATAAAGCAGACACAAATTGATTAACAGCAAGAAATGAAAATTATTCAAAAAGACAAAATAAAGATTGTTAGCTCATTATCTGTCCTTTATTAAAAAATGCAAATCAAAAAAACATAAGCAAATCTATAAAATAACCTTACTGGTTTTATACAAATAATTACAGTAATGTCACAGAGAATTTTCACAGATTCATTAAGAATCTACATGTTGTGATAAAAGGATAAGTATATTGATTTCATTATTTTATAAGTCAAAGTAATAAGCTATTATTTAGTGACTAAAAGAATCAACTGAATGAATTTGCTTCTCATTCTCTTTCATTTCTTGTTCTTTTCAACTCATAAGAAAACATGCTTACGCTTTAAGCATTATTGTATATACAAATAAGAAAATTTGCTATTTATGAACATTCTAAACAAAAATAGAAATAATAGTATATCATTTTATCTGAATTTGTAATTTCATACATATATGATAAGTTATATTAATTAATATAGGATAAAATAAATAATAAGATCCATATCTTACTCAAATTTATGATTTACAAGCAACCTATGTTTATGAAAGCAAAAATGTATAACAACAAGCATACAGGCATACAGTTAAGAGCACTATTTTATTTACAAGCATTGTTTCCTTAGTAGTAAGCGAGTTTAAAAGCTATAAAAAAGGTTAATATAGAGTAACAGCAAAAAAAAATTACCTAAGAAAATCCTTTCATCAAAGTCTCCAACACTTAGTACATGTTGTTCATACACTCTGTTAATAGCTTTGCTATTTCCATCAAAATATAAAGCTTCTAAAATACCAGAGAAATTTGTCTGATCACCACGCAGAACTCTTTCATTGAACAATTTATTAATATGATTTTTCAGATAATATTCCTTAATTACTTTAGCTTCAACAGCAATAGCTTCATGACGTTCACATAATAAGCTAACAATACAATTTGCTGTCTGTGGTGGAATATAATTTTCATCATTAAAATTTGATGGTAAACCTGTCAAAAAATATATAAGTAAAAATCTATTTCTTCTTGCATACATAACCAGCATATATTTACCAGGAAAATTAGGATTTAATAGGTCCTTCCTGTTAGCCAACAAAGCATTGCTATATATAAGATCGCAACACACTAGGAGAAGATGGTAAGAATTAACTAAATCATCAGAGATATCTGGAAATGCACCCTTTATACAAATAAATAATGTCCAACAAAATTCAAATACTCTTGCAGGTGTACATGGCATTGCTTTGTGTCTCCTTGATCTTGGTGGCCGTGAAATATCATCTACAGGATCTTTAAATATGTCAGTAAAGATTGGCTGATACTTTTTGAATATAACCATTGACACAGCAAAGTTTCCTTCAAGTTTCTCAATCTTTGAACGAAAATCTTGCGACATATTGGCCATGTCAGCCCAAGATTTACTTTTTGTAAAAAACTGTATCAAAGGAAGATTACACAATTGTAATAAACGTGTCAATGAAACACAATTTCCTTCCACATTAGTACCAGTCTTCCCAACAGTAGGTATAGATGACTTACGGCAAGCTACATATAATGCACACCCTATCCAATGTAACTGATCACCCTGAAAAAACAGACAGGAATTTCTATGCGTATATGATTACACAGATACATGTACACATATTGCTTTTAAAAAATATACACATAAATCTGATATAGAATTTTGTAAATAACAGTAGACAAAAGTAAATTACATTGTAAAACATTGATGAATGCAATAATATTTAAAATCAGTGTCAATTTTTAAATAGTAGAGGATCAAATTATGGTAGTTCTACATCAAGTTCTTTTATAAATTAACTATTGTGTTTGAATAAAAATACTTTATATAAGCAACTAACATTTAGTCTTATTGTTTTAAATTGGTGCGCTTTAATCGGTTGAGTAAAACAAACCGCGAATTCAATAACGTTAAACATTGAGCAGGGGAGTTAAACGATTTGTATATTGTAGATAAACAGTAAAAGAAACATATTTTCGATTTATAGTTCAAAGATGAAGAAACTACGGTAATTAATCTGAAACAATGAATAGAATGTGAAATGATTAAGATAATGAGTAATTCAAAAAATACCTCAAGAGTATAATTTTGTCGAATAGTCTCATAAGATTTCCAAGCTTCAGATGCAGCAGTTGCATCCATATTCAATTTCTGACACAAATCTTGATGTCTACTGTAAGTAGAGTCTTCTACATCATCTGACTGCCCCATTTTTATCTAAAAACTTGAGAAAAGCCACAAAAAAACACGATTAATTTATACTGATATATAAGTGAGGTGCGCCATACGAGAGCTCCGTGAGGGCTTGGCGGGAAACGACACGAGCTCCGCCATATTTGCCATGTTGGCGGGAAATGTAGAATAGCAATTATAAGAAAAAAATCCTTAGGTCGATTTTGCACGAAAATTTAATATATTCCGCAACTGACTTATTTTCAAAATAATGTATTTTATGCAATATATCTTGGATTACAGGAAGAATAAGAAAATGTCCGTTTAAAAAATTCCTAAACATTAAATACGAATTGGTAGTTTTTACAATCTTTGAAACAATGAAACCAAAATGGGCGGTAAAATTTTCGGACAATATTTTTTTAATTTTAGAGGAGTATAACGTATTGTTTGTTATTTATAAATGTTATCATACGTATAAATAATAAATTGATTAAGATTAATTTATGTGTTAAATTATTCATTAATAGAATCCACGAAATTTTTATTAAGATACTACGTATTATCCAATCAAAAGTCAAAATCTTACTCTTTGTAATTTAAAATGATGTGTTCTTATTGGTCTTCTATATTGAAATATATATATATATATATATATGTGTGTGTAAATATTTGTGCATTTGCATTACCTGTGAAAAAGTATTTGGTGGAAAGCAAGATGCTTTTAGCGCATTCATCTTTCTGTTATTCTTATTTATGTTACATCGTTGAAAATATCTTTTTTTTTTTTCGTTTATTTTAAACCATACATGTTAAATATAGGTATCATATGATAACTTTGCTTGTACTTATATTTGTGTTTTCAAAATCTGTCAAAGTTTAAATTTATGATTCATCAGAAAAAATTGTGTGGTATTTATTAAATTTAGTATAGACGACGTATAGACAGATATTTATGAAACCTGCTGGAACTAAGAAGCGCTCTCTATGTCGATAGCGCTTTCATGGTATAAATATGTAAATACAATATGGCCGATAGAAGCGGAACTTTGCGAGTTTTTCCGAGTGGCATTTTGCCAATGGATTAAGAAGCTGTGAAATTTGTAAATTCATTCGAATTTTCTACGTGCACAAATCTTTAAATGACACGGATTAAACGATACTGTATAAATCGTTCAAGTTTCCTTGATTATATCGAAATGTCAGTAAGGCGCTACTACTAAAGAATGTTTATTTCTCTCCAATCAGAGTAATCGCTTTTTTTAATTTTTTCCTACAATATGAAATAAAACGTGAAAAATCCGCTTTTGGTCGAACACAGTGTTATTGTGAGTTCATGTTCGATTAGCCGGCATTTCAATCAACGATGTTCACAGTATAGGTACTGTCATGGACACAGATGTAGAACTTGCCAAAGGTGAAGGGTGTGAAACTAGTCCAGGTTGCTCTGGCTATTCTGGCATGGTGCACAGTAAAAAAGTTATTAAACATGCACTACGTCAGCAGGCTAAAAGGCGTAGAAAAAATACTACAATTGCAGCTGGCAATTCTCGTACTCTTCCAAGGATTGTCGTTAAACCACTACCTCCACCTCCACCGAATGATCCTCCTTCTCCTGTTAATAATGTACAACATATTAATACTAGTAAGTCAGATATATTTATTAATTTATGTTTACATAAGCTTAAATAAATAAATAAATAAAATGATATAACATTTTAATAATTTCAATATACATTGATTTACTAGTTTATTGTTATATATGTTAGTATAACGTTATTCAAATATAGCAACCGAGGAGCCTGCTGCCACAATGAGAGAAGTCCTAGCAAGCTTGCCAGGATTTAGTTTAAAATCTGGACGTAGACGATCAACAAAACGATTATCAGCAACTGCACAACTAGAGGCTGGTCTTGTAGATCTTGAGTCTCCAGCAAGTATCTTAGCAAGTACGAGTTTACGTGCTCTTTTAAATAGGCATACCTTTCAAGGTTTACCACCTTTATATCAAAGGAAACTTGCACAACTTTTACCGGCTGTAGATAGACAGGTAATTTTAACAATGTGTTTATTAATAATGCTTAACTTCTAATGCTTTATTATCTTACTTATTTATTTTTTTGAAATATTTAAAATTATATCTGTTTTATAAAACTTTTTATTTTATCTGTTGCTACCAGGATGCTGCTACATCTGGATTAAATAATGAATTCTTTGCACGAGCTTGCTTAGAATGGCGTAAACGTTTGGCAGAAGGAGAGTTTACTCCAGAGAATCAACAAAGATTGAAGATGGAGGCAGAGAGAGATAAGAATAAATTGGATCCATGGAAAGTTAAACATTTTGAACCCATATGGGGTGAGAAACGTGAACCTAAACTTAGATCAGGTCTTCACTGTATTACTGAAACAAGATCTGGCGGAGCTGTAACGCGTTCAAGTTTAAGACTTCGTTTAGAATCTAATGTAGATACACCTGTATCAGATACTCCCTGTCCTATTATGTCTGAAGATAAAGTCGAAGAAGATAATTGTAAAGTTGAAACTAGTATAAATAATTCAGACGAATTGAACGAAACAACAGAAATACAAGAATTATTACCAGCAGAATATAATGAAACAACGCATACATTAATCGATGAAAAACATATAGAATCTGTAAACATAAATTCTGTAGAAACGATAGCTGATACTGAAATGCATCAGGATAAATTAGAGGAAGACGAGAAAATTATTGATCTTCCAGAAAAACAAGATATAATTGAAGAAAATGAAGTAGTAACTCAGGTTTGTCAAGAAAGTATTTCAAACACGACGAATTATGACGAAGAAATTCATTTACCTCAAGATGAAAAGAATCTTCAATCAATGGAGAACCACATCCTCGAAGTATCCGAGGAAAATAGAATACTCTTACCTGAAGAGAATACTTCACCAAGATCCAGTGAACAAACAGAACAAATCCCTCATACAACCAGGGAGACATCGTCCCAATTATCAACAGAATGTACGTCTCAAACTTCCATAGATCAAGTACCGCAAATTTCGAAACAGGAAATATCTCAAATGTCGGAAGAACAAATTTATCCAATGTCTGACTGTGAGACTACAACTATACTCGAGACTTCACCATCGCACGAGCAAGTTAGACCGACCGAAATCGTTATGGATGATTCTACGTTAATTAATAACAATCAAACTGAAGCAACACAGGTTTCTCATGAGAATCCAACGGACGGTGAATCGCAAATTCCTGAAGGAATGGAAATCGACAGTGAAACGTTGCAACGTATTCACGAATTGGAGGTGATAATTTATACTGTTTGTAAAGATTTACAACATAAAATTATCAAGTTCTGTTAAAAAACAAATATGATACACCTCTTTCAGGTAAGGGGAGAAATGCGCGAAGTGTACGAAGAGATTTCGGGATGTTCTGAAGAAATAATATACCCTATTCTTGATGGAATGGAAATGGGGTCGAATAATGCCGAAGAAACTGAAACGCAAGTGGTCTCGGGGCAGTCGGAAGTTACTAGAGAGCAGCAAGATGTAAATAGTGGAAACGAAGATGAAGCTCTTCGAGAAGCAAATAACTACGTTTGTTCTGAAATGTTAGAATGTAGTTGGTCGGTAGACCCCACAGTTAATAATATTAACAATAATAACAGGGTAAGTGTACTGATAAAAACTTCAAATAATTTCGTATCTCCTTTTTTTTTAATGTATAATCATCAACAATGTATCTTTATATTGAAAAAAGTTAATTTTATTTTATGAAGACTCAGGAAGAGCTTCAAGTTCCATGGCCACTAGTAGCTGCAGCTCTTGATGGATCTGTGGCCGCTAACATTACGGTAACCACTCAGGACGAATGCAACGAGACACCTACTTCGACTGATTCAGCTAACCCACCACAGCAATTTATTAATGCAGATTCTAATGTAGAATCAGTCAACTGTATTCAACTACCAGTTGTTCAGGGAACTCCGTTTCAGTCAGAAGGTCTCGCAATCGGTACACCAGGAACGAGTTGTATAATGAAGAATTTTCAGTCTCAAAGCCCACCTATTATTACCTTTCCACAACTGCAGTCCATCAGATTTGTACAAACAAACTTTTCTGACCAAAACACTACATCGACTTTGAATAGCACATCTCCAATTACTGCTCAAATTCAGAATCAACAGAATACAAACTCGCAAGTGAATATAATGAGAACGCAAGAAGAAGTCGTTCAATTAAATACTCAAAATAGCACCACACGGAATATTAGAAACACCGTAACTCAAAATCAAGTTCCGAATACCGTAACGGCCGCGATTGGTGTACAACCACAAAATCGTGCACAAAATACTATTGTTATTCAACATCAAGCGTCGGCTCCTACGCAACCACGACAAGTTGTAGCAACCATACAGCAACAACAATATCCTGGTACGGCAGTCGCTGTATCCTCAAGATCTTCACGTTCTAATAATCAAGGTAGTCAAAGAGGTTCCAGGAATAGTAATAAAGAACAAGGAGGAGGTCGATCTCGTAGTACTACAAAAGAACCTCCTGGTGCAGTTAACTTAGAACGCAGCTATCAAATATGTCAAGCGGTAATTTTAACAAATCAACTTTTGTTAGAAGAGTTTGGAATTTAATTTTTGTTTTATGTGAAATAAGATGTATTTGTGCTATTGTAGGTCATACAAAGTTCACCAAATAGAGATCAATTGAAGGCTCATTTGAAACCTCCGCCTAGTTTACTTGCCAGAGGTGATGGAGCGTTTACGACGAATAAATCTGGTGGCCGTACAATTACGACTGTCAAAACTCAGAAACCATCACAGACGATACAAAATAAACAAGCTCAAAATAAAACGCAAGCAGTTATGTTAAGACACGTGTTTGCAACAGCACGCCAAGCTACTTCCACAGAGGTATGACATACCTCTTGTAGAAATTATATGATAGTAGCATGTTACATGTTACATTTTTTTCCTATTTTATTCTGAAAACAAGGGTGCATTGTTTGTCTAATTTAGTTTTATTTAGGTCCTAAGTATATTGAAAGGAAATACAAAATCTTATTTATAAATACAAATAAAATAGAACAGAAAAATATTAGGGGTATCATTATAATTTAAATGTTTCAAAAGTTTATTTAATCTTGCAATCTATGTTTGG